GTAAAATTAATTGCTGCAGCTCTACCCTCTTTGTCTCCTATTATGCCCTAGAATAGCTGATTCTCCACTGAACAAGCTGGTTTCAGTTTATTCTATCGTCCAATTACCCGTGTGTCTGGAAGTGCCGACTGACCTTGTTATTCAATCACCCATCACATTGAGCAAAATAAGGGGTGTTTATTTTTCTGTGAACGAGGTCTGAAGCGACGGATAATGACTCGGGGCGGAGTATTTATGAGCTTTAGTTCGCTGAAGTGCTTATGATAAACCACCTCTGTGCATAATCTGTACAGCGGTGGATGAACGCTCACTGATCGGTTACGGAGCTTCTACGGTTCCGTTGGACTTCTAATCAACATGCCGTGAGTTCTAGCCTCGAGTGGTACATGACCTGGGATTGGACACATCTGCCTGATGACGGCTAATAAGTAAGAAATTACCGAGAAAGACAAGAGAGGCTGGAATTGTAATGTTAGTCTGCACAGCGTACCTCCACGTGCTTATATTTCTCCTAATCGCACACACCATGCTCTGTGGGCTATTGGCCCACATCTTTTTAAATGATGACTACGTCTGTCAAGTGTTTTATTACGCAACATTTACTGCATCATCCATATTTTGTTTTTTTTTGGTAGAAAAATCTCATGCTCGAACAAAGCTTGTGGAGCAAACAACTGATTAGGGCTTTCGAGGCTACACTGCAACGTTTAAAGTCGGCACACGCACGTAAGTCGAGTCTCCGTGATTCGCTGTCACTTAACGCCAGTGTCTACCTACCTGCCAACTTGAGTCGGATTGAATGTTCAATCGATTGACTATTTTCTTGAAAAGTTGTTCAATAATACCTCTCAGAGCTAAGATATTTGTAGCGTTTTTTGTGACATGCGTTTATGATAATATCGGTAGGAGCAGCCAATCTTGTTTTCCAAGTACTAACTGAGAATTTTGGTAATTTCTACTTTAGTTGTTTCAATTCGCTTCTCAATACTGTCCACAAATTCCATAATCTTGTCCAGTTTCCCGACTTTCCAACGAAGTATTTTTGTTTTTTAGATGGACAGATCACCGCCTATCCTTTTTTGAAAATAATGCCTAGAAAGGCATACGTTGATCTCCTGATTCGGGTAAATTTTCTGCTTGTATTTCGCTGTCTAAAATGTTCGATTCATCAACTGTCTTCTTAATTTGTTAGACTAAAATCAAAGCCGCATGCCTCTAGGTTGACGGTAGAGCGTTTGCCTTAGCTGCTCAATGACCATGACATATGGATTCGAACTCCAAGATTTCCTGAAATGTCGTAGCGACGGCCGGGAAATCACTATGTCTCCGACAGTAACGAAATCAGCGCTTTATGGCCTATTTGTTTGTTGCTAGTGGCGGTGCCGCAAGAGAAGTCTACTCGGCTGTGCTTCAGTAGGTTCTGCGAGCACCACTCCTTGGTAGTGGTAGGGTGGTGGTAATAGTCTGGAAACTTTATTGTTTTGGTAAGGCAGAGTAGCATACTACTACATCCAAAGTGTTCGAAAGCGCATCACCCTGGGCTTCCCGAAATAATAGATTGGACGTTCAGGGGACCTAGGTTTGGCTCACACTCTTCTGCGACCTCATGGATGTTTTAGAAATATAGAGGCCTCTGTAATGAATTCAGTAGTTTGACTAAGGTTGGAAAATGTACTAAGATGCCAGAGGAGAAAGTAGCTCTGAAACTTATCCAATTATGTTTCCCCACATGCTCCTAAGTCGCTTAAAATCTTAATGAAAACTG